GCGATTTTATGCCAACATTGTTACAACACAAAACAGACACTGTAATATACAATGAACAATTACATAGTGATTTCAAAACAACTATACTACTTATTCCAATTAACAAAATATTTCTCTATAAAAAATATGTTCAAAAGGAAGTTTATATTCACTTCATTTAATATCAAGTTTATAATAATGGTCATACTAGATGCAAAGACAGAAAATTATTTACCTTAAAAATCTGTATTCTCCAAAGGTATATATATATACTCTACTTGGATTATTCAAGGTTTAAGATTCCTGGACAACAGAAGACTTTGGAGCTATTAAACTTAATATACCCAAGAAACAGCCAAAGTCTCATGATTTTGCTAACCAAGGGCCTTTAACAAAGTCAAAAGATGCCACAGGATTCACCACTGAACAAAGATCCTAATGAGTAAATTAAGATGGTGCTGCTCAAATGATTCTAATTTAAGAAACTTAGGTTGCAGATAGGTAATTTCTAGCTCTCTAAAGAATGACACCCAAGGACACAGCTGCAGAAGAATTTCTGTATTGGTGCAGTAATAGCTGTTTCATGACCTAGCTAGAGTCAGAACTGGAGAATTGGCTGCAGCGTAGAGGTGGATTTCTCCTCTTGGAAGGAAAAGCAAAACAAGGAGGAAGAAAGGATGAAAGCGAAGCCTGTGTAGCTGTAGGGCAGATCTCCATACAAGCAACAATTATATCAGCTGTCCTAAATACTACCAAACAGGCCCTTGGAGTGTCTGACCTACAATATAGTATAGACAGAATAAGTTCCAGAATCTGGTCCCTGGATCTGAACTAATGTACCTCCGAGAAATTCAGCAAGACAGTCTCTATGGCCTGTTTCTCACCTGTAGGTCTAAGATTTTAAGCCATAACTAGATAGGCCAGGTATGTCCCTCCATAATAGTTTACTCTGGGTGGGAGATTTGAAACTGTAAATGCTTGGGTTCCACCCCAAATCCTAATTTTATTTAATTGGCAATCTGGTCATTGTATTTTTTTAACTCCTCAGGTTGTGTAATAATAGATATTCAGGGTTGAAAAACACTGACAGAAAGGTTAGAGTTTCATGGAATATCTGGGCCTCTTCAACTAGGGTTGGCAGCTGCCATCTTAACACTCTTTGGGGGAGTCCACATCTCTTCACTTATCATTAATGTAATGTTCGGGAATGTAACAGCCAACAATCTATCCATACTCCTGGTTCCCTCTATCACCTGGTGTGGTTAAACTACCTCAGTAAGGACAAACTGGGTGCTTTCTAAAGGTTGGAGACATCCAACCTGTATCCATTCCACACTACATTCTGGATTTGGGCCAATAAAAGGAGCATCCATTGAGCTAAGGCATGTCCTTGCCACATAACAATGAGAATTCTGGAGAGCCAGGAAGAGCGTGGGGAGTAGTATGGAAAGGTATCAATGAAGAAGCAAGGTTGTAACACTGGGCATGAGGAAGTCAGAGAATTTCTGAAAGAGAGTGCTATCTCCAGAAACTTTCGTATTTTAAGTAACAAGATAATTAACACTTTGGAAGTACATTTTTTTCCATTATGGTCATTCATACACTGAGAGCTTCCTTTGAAGCTTTGCTTTGAAGGGCCTTAGAACATTACCTCATCAACGTAGAGAATCAGAAAGCCTGAATTCTAGCTCCAGCTCTGTCAACAATTAGCTGTATATAACTGATAGGAAACTTTTCAATAGTCTTAAAGCCAAAGCATATTCTCTGTCAGCTTTTCCAAAAACACACAGTAAAGAGATTTCTACCAGGAACACTTTAATGGGTATATTTCAAGTGTCATCTCATAGAGGATTCTCAAGTGGTCAAACCTCACTGATCTATATACCACTGCTTCACAAAAAGGTAATCAGTATTCGATTTTTATAATGCATTTTGATGTTTACCTTTGATTAGGCCATATTCTGATGTTAAAAGAACTTTAAAAAAAAACACAAAAAGCCATCCAGTTTCTCCATTCTATCTCCTGCTATGATTTTGCTTGTTATTTATAAAATAAGAACTTAAATTTCTAAATCAAATCCAGCCCCAGTCTAGTTGCCACATTTTACAAATAAAGAAACAGAAATGACACGACCAAGTTCACAAAGCTGTTCAATGGCAGGGCAAAGCACTAAAGATGGACAGCGCTGCCTACATAATCTGAAAGCCCTCATTCTCTAGAGGTTAGGGTCAAGTTATTCAATAAAATAAGATGTCAGGAGGTAAGCACACAGTGAGAAAACAAATTTTTGAGATGCATGCTTGAGCTACATGCATGCAGCTATCTCAAGATTAAGAGGCAGAAAAAGATTGGGAAACAGTGTAACCCTATCTCCTGGATACATTTAAGTACCTGTCCTTAGAGACTATGTCAGGCTAACTATGTTATTTCTAACAGAACCAATGATCATAGATGGGGCAAAGATAGAACTGGGTATTTGGTTCTTGAAAATTTTGTGCCTGCCAATCTTAGAAATCAATGACGCCTTCACTGATATGTTTTCCTCCTTCTATCTAATACGTACAGAGAAACAAAATATACTTAATCAGAGAGATGTCCCAGGTAGGTGGTAAGCAATGGGAATGAAGTCACAATGTGCCCAGGATAACCAATGATCAATGTTTATTAGCTAGGTAGCCACTATTCTAATCTTAGCCAAAAATAACCATCCCATAAGTTAATGCAATTTTACGTGTTAGAATATACTTAATGAGACAGTTGGGACTAAGGAAACCGGAAATTTAATTCTGAAACTCATTAGGCAACCATTCCTAAGCTGAGCTTGTTAAACTATAAAAATGGAAGTGCAACCTTCACTTTTCTCAGCAGCTCAGATAATACTATGAAGGTATAGAGTAATGTTATATGGTACAAAACAAAAAGTGCTGTCCAAAGGAAGACAGTACTAAATATTAGGAAATTTCTGAATTCCATACAATTTAGATTTTTAAAAAATGTGTACCATGTCAACATGTGTTTGGAGAAATCATTTTCCTAGTATTATATTACAAAGTACATATTAAGAAGGACTATGTAAAAAGGTGTTTAACTGATAAGTATCATGAAAACACTAAATTAAACAGTATTTAATTGTTTTTAACTTCACAGTTTCTCAGAGCTTTGAATATCACGTATATCATGAATCTCCAAAATGGAAGGACAGTGAACAGCAGTTTCTCAAACTTATGTGACCATCCTACTTTCTTTACGTGGACTATCTCAGTGCAGCTGTATTCCAAAGGACATACTTCCAGGAAAAAACATTCTTACTCTCAATTTCTCCTAGATTCCTACTGTTTGCTTGAATACAAAATCATAAGACATTTTGGCTAGAAATTTTTTCATATAAACATAAATGTGTACTGACACACATGGTAGGCATTTTGTAGGCTGTCTATTCTAGCTCTAAAATAACATGACTCTAAATCTGTTAAGACCAAGTCACTAACATATTCTCTTTCCAGAAGGCGATCATGAGTACCTCTTCATCAGGACAAAGAATGAACACTTCAAGTTTTGTACAAGTGAAATATTCCTTTGTCTTGGGTACAATTATTTGTTCAATAGACAGAAGCTCTTCCCTGGCTGGTCCAGCAGCAGTTTTCTTGTCCTTTGGATCAGCCAAAATGAAAAGATGATTTCTGCCATGCATCATTTTGTTGTTTATCTAACACTGAATCCCAAACAAAATTTCCTATCTAATTACTAGAAAAGACCTTTTAAACAAGGAAAGAGGCAGCAACCTGAGATGGAATTGGTAAGAGAAAAACATGATAACATTCTTTGCTAAAATATTGAGAGAAACGGCTCCAGAATTTAAGTCTACTACTGTCTATTTTTATAGTTCTTATGTGAATGTTATAAAAGATGTGTTAGAAACTGGTGGCAATGGCAACAAGTCCTGCACCAGCTCTTAAATCCTCTATTACAATTGGTAGAAAGGATTCTAAGGTTTGGCAAATACCTTGCATGGAGCAAGACTGGTCACAGACTTTTGAGTAGCAAGTAATAAATCTGTCTACAGATTAAAGAGTTCATTTTACAACTCTTTACTAAATGACATAAGCACTTTTCCTCTCCCATTTGTAAGCTGTAGACACGCATCATGGCTTCCATGATCTCAGAGCTGTTCCTCTGACCAGCCAACAAGAGATTAACACTCTCCTCTTAAACTCTTATCTGCACTACACCAGAGACATCACTGAGACAGTTTCTTCTGGGGAGAGAACAGAAACTTTCTATGCAAGGCTGCGGAAGCTGGTAATATAAGGCCAGGAGGATAAGCTCCTTACTAATGAACAAGCTGACAATGAGTAACAGAGCATCTATATGGAACATGGTTTGAGAACATTTTAAGACCATTCATAGAAATTTGAGACCATTCATAGTTTCTTCCTCCCATGGCTGTGATATTATAAAATTCTAAAGAACTTCAACAAATTTCTGGTGCTTTTCCATTTTAAGGTAGCTTTCATTTTATAGCCCCAGTGTCCTGCAAAAGTGGCTCAACAGCCCACCTATATCTTCATCTGATATGGTCATCTTGTCCTCACCCTTTGGAGAAATGATTACTTACAAGAAAATTCAGATTCTCCAAAAGGTATGCATACACAGTAAGTCATACTATTAAATAATGGGTGTTTCTAACAGCTTTTAGAAACTGGCAAAGAAACTGAAGCCCATTACTACCCCTAAATTCACCCACCTTCATACATCTTCATAGACGGAGACATCAATAGCAACAGTGAGTTTATACATAAAGAATAAGTGAGGCAAAGGCAAAAGCATTATCAACCTGTCTGAGTGTAGGCAATGGTGCTTTGATTATTTACCCGTACAAACTCTTCAGTCCCTTTTTGTTATCCCAACTCAGCTCTTAAGTCGTAGATTTTTGCTGTAGAGAACGCAGATGTGATGCAGCTGATCCCAGTAATTCTTTTCACAGTACTGCATATCAATAATGGGAATGATTTCTAATCAATTTAAACTGCACACGGTACTTTAATAGAAGAAGTTTATTACTCCCACTCAGTTGTTCCTGGGGGCTTTGATGTTAAGTCATACATAATTCGAGAAATACCAGGAATCTTCTTAATTTCAGTGACCATCTTTAATACCACCTGTTATAAAAAGAAAAATTATATATAGATGAGCCAGCATCCAACGCATGTGCAATAGTCCTAGAGGGCTTACATTTGCAATTTAAAATTAAAATGTGCTCTATTTTCACTATTGTCCCCCATATATGTGGGATGGTCTCCAGCTAATCTTACATAGTGAATTTATTTTCCTCTATAATAGATATTAGTGACTTAAACTCAATACTACTCAAAGTCTGATCCACAAACAGGTACTAGTCTACAAGTTGTGTTTGTTACTGGTCCAACAATAAGTGTTTCAGAATACTTACAGCAATTTGACTTTGCTATAGCATCCAAATGTGATTTTATATATTTTAACCAATGCTTTGCAAATTATCTGTGGCTTAAACATCCAACTCTGAGGCCACCAAGGTGGTATACAGTGCACTATAATAATTAATGTCAAGTATATAAGAGGAGAGAATGGCCTGGTCACTTGACTGGCCAGAGATAACGGCAAATTCGAGCCTTTAGGAAAAAGAGACTCTAAGCCACATTCCCTAACCCAGCTAGCTATAATGAAGCAGTGGTAAAAACTAATAAAGTCTCACTTTGATTTTCATGTGCTATTATGTAAATAGATCCTTTAGAACACTCTGGTGGAGGTATAGAAGAATGGAGAAAAGGTAATCAAAAAAGAAACAAGAACTATTAGTAGGCAGAAATTAAGCAATTCTCGAGGGCATGGCTATAAAGCCATCAAATCTCATCCTTATTTCTAACAAACTCTTCTTCATTCCTAGAGTTTTCTTCTGGGGAATACTATTTATAAAGTAGAGGTTGGCAAGATTAGATAAAATTATAGATTACAATTGGTTACTTTCTACATAGTAATCAGACATTTGGAGGGTACATTAAACTTAGGGACTTCTTCTGCTATGGTGTATTAAACAGTCAAATGTGTGCAGATTAAAAAAAAGAGCGTACCTTATGAACAGAAAACCAACCCCAGAAATATCAACACTGTCATAGCCTATTCCATTTGCCATATTATAAAATGTAAGATGTACTGAAAATGTACATTAGAAAAAAAAACATAATTACCTCTACAGGGATCTCATTGCCAGGTGTTGCAGGTATACCAGTCATGAAGTCACTAGTAATAAAGGTTCGAATAACCACAGATCTCTGGCATGAAGGCTGCTTCTGAAGTGGGTCCCGATCAAAATGTAACGGTGTCAAAATCACTGGCATCTGGCTGATTTTCCCTGCATAACCTAGAGAAAAGAACACGAAGAACCATTCACCACACCATGGAAAAGCACTCTGTAAATCTTCCCAGACGATATCTAAAATCACATATACGAGGGCTATCCGGAAAGTATCCAGCCATAATTTTCATCATTTTTCATATTACATGGCTGGATACTTTCCAGACAACCCATGTATACACACATACACACCACAGTTAAGACTGTCGTCATGCATCAATTTAAGCTACTCCCACAGTATTACAACTTGAGCACTGCAGTGACGTCATAGAGATGTGCTATAAAGAGAAAGAGTCGACTCTCATGATTCTCAGTAGTTATATTCTATACTGCAATTAGTGAATTAGCAATATACTGAACCATTTCTCCTAGAAATACAGGGTTAGGTCCCTGCAAGCCTCTGGCTGCAATACTTTCAGCAAGAGATCAATAGATCAATACATAACTCTGTTTTATGTGCACTTCTGTTTAAACACACCTTATTTAATATTTATTGTAGACTCATCAACACTGAACTCACAATCAATAGTATTATAACTCACGCCTGAATAAAACTTATCTCACACACAGATTTTCTCTATAAGGTACTTCATAGCCTTCTTGTGCTTAGGAACTCAGACGGCACTTCAGCACTATGTTTGAGGGCCATAATTTTAAACAGCAAAACCGCCAACAAAAAGCATAAAAGTGCAAGAAATATGGCACCAAGTACATCATGAAAAGGACACTTGTTTATAATATGAGAGTAAAAACAAGGCAGAGTGTCAATCTGTTCAACTTCATCTGGGAACATGTGAGTCTAGCAATTCAAATTTTTTGCCACTCTGCACATGTCCACAAATAGCCACAAGGTGAATAAATCTTATTTAGAAGGCAACATCGGCTGGGTACGGTGGCTCATGCCTGTAATCCTAGCACTCTGGGAGGCCGAGGCGGGAGGATTGCTTGAGCACAGGAGTTCGAGACCAGCCTGAGCAAGAGCGAGACCCCGTCTCTACTAAAAACAGAAAGAAACTGGCTGGACAACTAAAATATATAGAAAAAATTAGCCGGGCATGGTGGCGCGTGCCTGCAGTCCCAGCTACTCGGGAGGCTGAGGCAGAAGGATTGCTTGAGCCCAGGAGTTTGAGGTTGCTGTGAGCTAGGCTGACGCCATGGCACTCTAGCCCAGGCAACAGAGCGAGACTCTGTCTCCAAAAAAAAGAGCTAGGTAGAAGGCAACATCACAGAACCATCCATAGAATTAAATAACAAAAACAAAAGCATCTCAAATTAAATCAAAAGCCACGGTCTCCTGCTAGAAATATTAATGCCAAGCTTCCAAAGCTAGTTACAGCATGCAGTGATAAACAAAACGAGCAACTTACCAGACTCCCTGAGAATGTTATGGGCCTCAAAATCAGCTTGGCGTAAAGTACTGAGCACCCCTGTTGTCAAGAAAGTGGGAGTGACGTCTGTAGGAGGTTCTTTAACTGGTGGACCAAATATATAGACAACTCTAGAAGGAAAGAGGTAAAAATTATAAAGAAAATACATTTTAGTATGAGAAGCAAGGTACATAGAGTAACATTCTTTCCATTTATTTTTAGGCTCTTCTACCCACGTCAACTCCCCACATGAGTAGGACAGGATATAAGATTATAGGAAGGCCTATCTTCTATGTACCTTCCACAAAGTGCATTCTCTGGAATGCCAGTATCATAGAACGTGCAAAGATACATGTGATTATGACAACCTTCTTTTCACCTAATGTACTGGATTGAAGAATGTCTCCAAAAATTCATGTCCACCCAGAATCTGTGGCTGGAAAAGGGGCTTTGTAGATATAATCAAGTTTAAACGACGTTATACTGGATCAGGGTGGGCTCTAATCCAATGACTGGTGTCCTTTCTAGAGCAAGAAAATTTGGAAACACAGACACACAGAGGAAAGAAATCCATGTGAACATGGAGACAGAGATTGGAGTTATGCAGTCACAAGCCAAAGATTGCCGGCAACCACTAGACATTAGGAAGAAGCAAGGAAGGATCCTCCCCTAGAGCCTTCAGAAAGAACATGGCCCTGCCAACGCCCTGATTTCAGACTTCTGGCCTCCTGAACTATAAAAGAATAAATCTATGCTGTTGTAAGCCTCCCAGTTTATGGCAATTTATTATGGGTAGCCCTAGGAAACTACACACATAGTTAAATAAAAAAATAGGTGTCTTTTTGACAAGACTTCAGAAACTGTTAATATGCTAACATGCCCTAGAAATCTCTAAGATGAAATTACAGCGAATTTCCTAAAGTGGGTTGACCACTCGATATTTTTTTTCCATTTTGAGAAATAGTGATCCTAGACAGAGAGATTCTCATTTATAATTCATTAAAAAGACCACTGAAATAGGACTTGGTATTCTACTATTTCCTTCCTAAACAAATGAATTGCTACTGCTTTAAGTAAATGCATGTTTGAAAGACATGAAGATACAATGTTACGTGTTAATACAGCAGGGTTTGGAACATACCTTGAAGCAATTAGAATCAGACAATTATAACAACTTGAAGTGTATCTTGCCACTGGTTTGAAGGAATCTATTTCATAACCCTCACCCAGAAAACAAGAGGGAGTCAGGTAGATATATGAATGCAATCTACCTAGAGCTAGCTCTCCCTACTCCAACTCCAGCCAGTAGACAACTGTCCCTTTTCCTTAGCCCTGTCTTTTAACAAAGAAAGTAAGTCTCTCCTGGCAATTACCATGGTGAAGTTTAATAGTTTTTTTTTTTTCCCCTTAGTACGTACGTGGGAGTAAAATACCCAAAAGAAAACAGTACTTAGAGCAAAACCCACCACTACTACCAACTACCTCATTGCTTCCTTCCCAACATACTATACCAGAAGGTTTTTGTCCCACATATAAAAAGTATGCCATACTTCTAAACAATATAGTCCCTAGAGCTAATAAAAAAATCTTTAGAGGAGAAAGTGATTAGTTAAGAGAATGCCATGAACCTGCCCTTTTCACTTTCTCCTTTCTTATAAGTGAGAGTAATCACTACAGTATAGAGGGGCAGGTAGTCATTCACATTGTGCAGAATAGTAAAACTGGAACAGTCCCTTCCTGTACAAAGATTCCCTCATCCAAATTAGGGGGGAAAAATGGAAAAATATTTTTAAATTCTAATTCCCAAAAAGGACCCAGACAAATCTGAAGTTCACCAAGATTCTTTTAAGGGATTAAGTCCATATTTAAAAATCTAGTTTTTTGTTTGCTGTACAAAGATTCCCTCATCCAAATTAGGGGGGAAAAATGGAAAAATATTTTTAAATTCCAATTCCCAAAAAGGACCCAGACAAATCTGAAGTTCACCAAGATTCTTTTAAGGGATTAAGTCCATATTTAAAAATCTAGTTTTTTGTTTGCTGGTTGTTAGGCTTTGTATTTTTTTCTTTTTTGAGGAGAGAGGTAAGGGTAAGGAAGGAGAGACAAATGGGGGCAAAAAAGAGAAAAACCAGCATATAAAAGGATAAAGTTTAAACAAGGGTGAGTGCCCTTTCGCAAAAGAAAAAGAAAAAAAGAGAGAAAACTAAGGATGCTGTGAAATGAAAAACATACTAATTACAGAGTAAAAGCAGTGGAGTTAAACTTAGGGAAAGGGAATTTTCTGTATGACATATAGTTTATTTAGCTATTAGCATTCCTAAGAAGATGAATTATGAACAATTGTTCTAACCAAGATAATTATCTCCATTCAAAATAGGCAATTACAAATTTACCATTGTTTAAGATACTAATAATTTTTTTTTTCAATATGTTGAAGGGACTTCAGTACTTGGGGGCCTTCAGTCATCTGGGTAAGCTTTTTAATGGGCATGTTTCCATCAGTAAAAACTTGGCTTCCCTGTGACACCTTATCTCTAACTATCCACACTCTGCTAGGTTAACACTAACAGGCAGGTTTCTAATTTCTGTAGCAACTGAGTAAAATGAAACCTCAAGTAATTCTTTTCAGTTAACTGCCTAACACCCATGAAGAAAACTGAAGAGGGTGAACAACTGTGAAATAAGAACATTTAATTAGCAGTCTGATACAAAACAAGTGAGATTTTTGAACTATATATGGGACAATGAAATTGAGTACAAGAAATAGATTATAAATCAACTGTTGATATAGCCAACATGAGCAATTAATAAGCAAATCAAAGGAAAATTATATCTAAAAATATAAATTATACATTTAAATATAGCTATTTTAATGATATTTGACATATGCCAATTTCTTTTCTTTGATTTTTCTTGAAATTACTATTAACTAAGTCTCGAATGCTCATAATTTTATAACCTGTACACATTTTTTTCAATCCTTCTGGAATAAAACATGTTACCATAAAACCAATAGCTAGTACAAGCTGCTAATTTGGAGGACATGTTTTATAGCTGCTTTTAATATCTTGCACTAAAATAAAAATCTTATTTCTCCTTTAAACAAATTTTTTAAAACAAAAAGATGACTACATTGTGATGAAGGGTCAAAACACAATATTAAGTCTGCTAAACTGTGACCTATGCACATATTTGAACTATAAACACAGCCATTCACTCTTATCTTCCATCACCTACCTACATCTACACTTTAGCCTTTTGGGCTTTCATTAACAGAAAAGACCTTAAAACACACATCCTCTTCCATTACACACACCCCTGCCCTGCCTCCCACAGAACATACCTGTTAATGTTGTGACACATGCGAGGTATAAGCCTAGCCAGGAAAATGAGAGATTCCCAGTCAGGTTCATCTTTACTGGAGATTCCACACACGTAACTATAGGAACGACAGTCACCCTGAAAACAGAAATACAATCAATAATTTTTAATAGTTTTATAGAAGTCAAAAGAAGTGTTGAAAAATATTTTACAAATGGTGACGCTATTAATAGCAATTTTGGGTTTTTTTTTAACAAGAATATATTGTTTGAATAAAGTATATATTAGTTATCTAATGGTATAAATAAATTTCCAATTAAAATCCCATATTAAATCCTATCCCAATTGGTTCAGACATAAAGTGTCACGGTAATTTCAAGAATTTATTCAATATATGTCTGAGAGGTCTACTGGGATTTCATCCCAAATACCTGCCGAACTGTGGATAACCAGCATACTTAATCTGGCACACAAGATCTGCCCATGTTTATTGGGTGGATAAAGGATCCTAAAGCAGGAGACGAAAACAACTCATACACATTTATTTATCAATTTGTTTAAACATGAGCTAAAAAGGTTAATTTAAAAATAAGTAAATAAAATTAATAATTGATTCCCTTTTCCCTTGTCCTGTTTAATCAAAATAATTTGTTTTAAAAAAGCAAATTTAAAATGTTAACAGATTCATTAGATAACTACTTAATACCCAGAATGTCAGGTACTAAGAATATGAAAATTCAAAGTATTTGATAGCATCTATAGAAGTTTAAAAAGTATTTGACAGTATGCTAATTTGACAGTATCTATAAAATATAAAATATACATGGCTCTGTAATCCAAAATATGATCCTACATAAATACATGAGTAACTGCTAAAATGTCTATAATAAAAAAAAAAAACTGAAAACAATTTAAACAGTCACTGGTAGAAGAAGAGTTAAATAAATTACAGTATATGTGGAATATGAGGGAGCAGTTAAGAAGAATAAGCTACTTGGGGGCTGGGCACGGTAGCTCACACCTGTAATCCTAGCACTCTGGGAGGCCGAGACAGGAGGATCACTCGAGGTCAGGAGTTCATTCAAGACCAGCCTAAGCAAGAGCAAGACCCCGTCTCTACTAAAAATAGAAAAAAATTAGCTGGACAACTAAAAATATATAGAAAATATTAGCCGGGCATGGTGGCGCATGCCTGTAGTCCCAGCTACTCAGGAGGCTGAGGCAGAAGGATCACTTGAGCCCAGGAGTTTGAGGTTGCTGTGAGCGAGGCTAACACCACGGCACTCTAGCCCAGGCAACAGAGTGAGACACTGTCTCAAAAAAAAAAAAAAAAAAAAAAAGAAGAATCTACTTGGAAAGGCATGGAAAGATAAGTTGATGATGTTCCATTAAAAGAAAAAAGTTTATGAACAATGTGTATTCATAATCCCCTCTTTTCTTTTTAAAATAAGCATTTCTGGAAAGATACAAACAAACCTATTAGAGAGTAGGAAGAGAATTATTTTTTTTAGGTATTTTGATTTTTTACAAGTATGGTTTACTTTGGTATTTACAAAATAACCTCATTGTTATACTAACCATGAATTATTTTTACCTGGACAAAGGTCTCAGCTCCAAAGGCCTAAAGACTAAAGTTAGGTATCTAATAACAAAAGAAACTTTTTTTTGGTGGGAAGGGTAGTAGAGCCTGATTAAGCTGATTTTCAAAAAAGAAATCACTCGTCCAAGAAATTACATTAACTCAAACATCTATTCATCTGTAACATTAGTATCTATAACACTTCCCTAAAATTTCAACTCAATTCCCTGTTAGCATACAATGGTGAAAGTTTTCTATAACAGGTTTACTTAGGGCTGGAAAAACTATGAAGAATTAAATAACCTGCCTATACTTCTATCTTTATATAGTAGGGTAATATCTGCCTGCAAATATAGTAAATTTCAAAATGAATTTGTGTATGACAAATTAGATAATCCATAAGCCACTAAAAGAAAATTATTTCTACAATTCCAAGAAAGCTTATTTCAATAGTAATTTTAGAACAATATAAGCAGCTTACACATGGGGTTTTTTAAAAGGTGAGTAAAGACAGGGCAAAATAGCTAGCTTTACCATTTCCATGAACTAAAATATTTTAGTTTAATTTAAAAGTAACAATGAGTTTTTACACTTTGTTTTGTTCACAGACCAAACTACATAAAATCAAAGCAAGGAGAAATTTAAACTGACAAATTCATGTATTTACAAAATGATTATGCTTATTAAGTTTTAGATGAATCTCTAAAACAAACTTTCTACACATAATTCCATAAGAAGACATTAAAAACACATGAACCCAATAACTGGCCCAATTACCATTTTGAGTTAAATTATTTACACCTTTCCTAGTTTCCATTTGACCACAAACTCTAAACAGAAAAGAAACCGTCTCCCCTATACTCCCAAGCTTTTATTCCCCCAGAAACTCATTTGAGGATCATATAAATAAAGGAGAAATAAAATCATTTCATGAATAGCATTTTAAAAATGAGAATTATATTATTCTCACATGCTTTTACAACTAGAAAGGCAAAATAATAAACACAAAAAACATTAGTTGTACACCACAGTTAAGGGAGAGAGATGGTAGGTTGAAGAAGCAGAGAACACTCATTTAGGGAATATACAAGCTGATAATGAGAACTAAATGGTGTAATATATTCTTCTGGATGCCTTACTGCAGTTAAAGACTTCTAAAGCAACGGTATATTTCACACCTAGAAGGATAAATGAGGACCTCTTCATACCTCCCCCGCAAGACAGAAGCAAGCCAGCCAATCCTACAGCAAATGGTCCTTTTAATTTTTACTTTTGGTTAGAGCTGACAGATATCCCAAAACTACAAAATCTCAGCCCTAATACTTAGTTCCTATAACTATTAACTCCATAAATATTCTATAAGATATTGCCTTTTTACTTTTCTAAACTTGGTATATATACTTTCATATTTCACTTTCCTAAGTAATTCCTATTTCAATATTGCTGAAAAGAGCAAACTTCAGGAAGTATGTCACAGGTCAATAAATTCACACAACTCACCTGTACACCTACAGTTTTAATTGGCAGCAAGAAGGCATTCAGTGAATGTAGACTTGTAATTTGCATCAGTTTCTCCTGATCCTCTTCTGTCGTGCAGGCTTTGACTCTTTGTAAGAGGGTATGTGGCTAAGAAAACCAATGAGACATTTTTTCAGGTTTCAAGAAATCAAGTATTCACTCGTTTGGTATTTACTACGATCTTATGTATCTACACTTACTGGTTTACGCCAGATTATTTTTGGTATCTCCTTCACTTGTGTGTGCTACGCACTATGCCAGAAATTCATTCCTGCAGACTAAGGCTATGAAGAAGCTAAATCTCAGGATAAGAAATAAGATTAGATTTACATACATCGAGGCTTTAATTCCCTGTCACCACCAAGTGACAAAACTTACCTGAGTCAAATCTTACCTCTAATACTTTTTGCCATAAAGTCAGTTTTGTCTGAAATTAATACAGACCCACCCAGTTCCTTTATTTGGTTTATTTGTCTGGTACATGTTTTTCCATTCTTTAACTTTCATGATTCTTATCCCCAGGTATTAGTAGTATCTCTTGTAAACGGACTGTACTTTTCAGATTTACTGTTCTGTACTAAACAGATTTAGTTTTCAACCTAGTTTGTCAATCTATGTCTTAAGTAGAGATGTTAGTCCTTCTCATTAAGTGTGAGTTAATGATATGGTTGAACTGCATTCTACCATCTATCTTATTTGTAGTATCTATTTGTCCCATTTTAGGTTTCTTTCTTCTTTCTTGCTATCTTTTGAACTGGTGATTTCTCCCAGCTCATTTACTTCCCCTTTACTAGTTTTGAAGTTAAACCCTTTATTTCTTTTAGTAGTTCCCCTTAAGTGTTGATATGGATACTTAGCAAAAGAGAATCTTCTGTCCTTCTGGTAAACAGTATAACCATGTTTGAAAGCTTTAACTCAAATCAACTCCCTTGGGGTTTACATGCTATTTCAGCTATATACATTGTTACATATTTTTAAATAAACACCAAAAAGTAGCTCTCTCAGGAAGAGTGAGACCTAGTCTCTACCAAAAAAATATAAAGAAAAAAAAAAAGTAGAGATCATTATGTGTATTATTTTAGACAGTCCATGTTTGTTTCAATTTTTCTCATTTACCATTTTCTTTGCTTATCATTCCTTCTTGTATCTCAGACTTTTCTCCTGGAATCCTTTTCCTTCTCCTGAAGTCAGTTCTTTAAAAACAGTGGTTCTCAACCCTAGCTGCACAAATTACTTGGAATGTTCAGGTCCCATGCCAGATCAATTAAGTAAGAAACTCTAACGAGATGGGCCAAAAATAGTAAACTTCAAAAGCTCCCCCAGATCATTCTAATACATAGCCAGAGTTGAAAGTCACTGCCTTTAGCTTCTTAAGGAACTGTTGATAGTAAATTCTGTTTATCTGAAAATGACTTTATTTTGCTCTTGTTCTTAAAAGACAGTTTAGCTGTTCACTACAGTTACTTATTTTCTCTGGGCACTCTGAAGTCTTGTTTTTACTGCTCCTTTCAGTATAATCGTCTTTCCTTTGTAGGTAATCAGTCTTTTCTCTCCAGCTGCTTTGTCTTTGGCAGTCCGTAAATTTCACTGAGACATACCGAGATGTCAAATTCTTTTCCTTCATCCTCCTTAGGATGTATCATATTTCCTGAATCTGAAGCATCATGTCTTTCACCAATGTGGAGGAATTAATATATTTTTGTCTATTATCTCTTTCTGGACATATGTTAGCACTGACCCTCTCATTCTATCTTAACCCCCTCTACTCATATTTTATGATTTGTACTGATTTCTAGATAATTTCTAAACATCCATCTTTGAGTTCGCTAATTCTCTCTTTAGCTGTTTTTAATTTCAGTTATTATTTTCATTTCTAGAGCTTAGATTTTTTTTCAAAGCTACCCAGTCACTTTTAGCAGCCTTACACCTTGTCCTTATTATCAATAGAATCTTTTATTTCTACTTACTTTATATATTGTTAATTCCAGTATCTGAAGTCTTTGACGGTCTTATTCTGTTTCCACTCTCATTCATGGTGCCTTACTTCTGAATGTGTTTTGTCTCTTTTATTGTAAGCTTGTATTTGTTAGAATTCTGTCTTTGAAAATTCTTTAGGACCTAGCTGAAGATATTCCAAAGAGAATTCACACTGCCTCTTGACTGACTCCTGGAGGCACTACCAACCCAGGTCCACTTTAAATTATTAAATAAAACTCTTAGCTTACAGTTTTCGGGCCATACAGATATATAAATTAAAACTTCAAATCTGCAGAAACACTGGAAGACTTTTCCATTCATCTCCAATTTGGAGCTAAAGTGTTGCTCAGGGTGGAGATCTCTGATCCAATTCCCAGCACTTTCTGGACCCAAAGTCTCATATTCAAACACTGTGTATGAATAGACTTGTTAAAACCAAAGCCCTGGACCACGTGGGATTAGTAACTGCCCTCAGAGAAGCAGACAGCTTTGGCTTCTTGAACTGTGTCCAATACATTCCTGATGCAAAGGATTTCCTTTACTTTCTTGTAATACATAAGAAAGTGTTTTAAAATACTTTATCTAGCATTTTTAGGGATTTAGAATATCCAGTCTTACTTGGCTGGGAAGAGAAGTCTGTATCCAAGAGTCTCTATAGAATACTTTCTTCACTGTCATTTCAAAGGTTATATTAATCTGAATTTTCGAATAATAAAATCCTAATAAATTTGCTGTAAATACTGGAGTACAATAAGAATCCATTCAAGTCCTTATAATTAGCTGTGTCAAATTATTACCTTTTTAACACTTGCAGAAAAATCAGCTACTATTTTCAAAATATTGTTGGTTTCAGGAAAGTCCTTACAAATATAAGGTTCTTCAGCACATATTACTCTGATTGCCAGACCAGGACCTAAAGATAAGAGTAACAACAGTATTTAATATAAATTTTGTATTTAATACAAAACGTCACTATTTTCAAAATATAAAATCCTTTCAAAATTAAAATCTGTCCACCATCATAAGTTCTTGAAAGTATTTAATTTCAAATGTAGCCATTAGTCTCCCGTTTAACTCATTTTTTAGAATGCTTAAATTTTCTCCACATCAATGACTTCTATCTTTTTTTTATAGTCAATGTGTATCACAAAATTCTCCAGTAAATATCTGTAATTCATATTATACGTGCCGATATATTTAAAATTTTTTATTAAGGGGCCAGGCATGGTAGCTGAAGCCTGTAATCCCAGAACTTCGGGAGGCCAAGGAGGGAGGGATCACTTGAGGTCCGGAGTTCAGGACCAGCCTACACAACATAGAATGACCCCATTGCTACAAAAAATTACAAACTAAAATTAGGCAGGTGTGATGGCATGCGCCTATAGTCCCAGCTACTCAGGAGGCTGAGCAGGAGGATCACTTCAACCCAGGAGTCTGAAGGTGCAGTGAGCAATGATCGTGCCACTGCACTCCAGCCTGTCTCAAAAAAAAAAAAAAAAAAAGATTAAGGAAATTTCCCAACATACATAAAAGTAAAGAGAACAGTAAAATGAACTACCTTATATCCATCATCCATCTTCAACTATCAATATAATTTTAGGAACAGTAGTATGCTGTTAATATATCTTAAATAATGAATGTTTAATTCCAAAAACTGTGAACTGGTATTTCCATTTTATCAAATATTCAGAAGTTGACAAAAACAAAGGTATGCATGAATCTAACATTAAGAAAAATTGGCTTCTGCTGCTTTACCACAACAAACATCACTTGAAATGTCTGGTTATAGCAAAACCTTAGCCATGTCTATTAATTCCTCATTTTTAGAATAAGCAGCTTATTTAAGGTAAGTTGTTTTTAAAGCAGCAAAACCCTTTTTACCAATAAAGTCATGCATAACAGAAAACCCAACATATACAATAGACTTTAAAAATATTAAGTGAGTCTAATTGAAATAATGACCAAGAACAAAGGACCACTTGGCCTCCCTCCATTACATTCCCAGACCATTCTTTACCAGCATGCAGGTTAGAAGCTAAAGATCTTAAATTAGTAGATCTGATTACCAGATTTGATAACAAGTGCTAATCATCACATAAGTTATACTTTTGTAACACTCTTTATGGAGGCAAGATGATGGTTAAAAGTATAAACTCTAAGGTAATGATTACTGGGGGTGGGGTGGGGAAGGCCGGGCCTGGTGGCTCATGCCTGTAATCCTAGCACTCTAGGAGGCTGAGGTGGGAGGAATGCATGAGGCCATGAGTTCGAGATCAGCCTGAGCAACAGTGAGACCCCCGTCAGTACAAAAAATAGAAAAATTAGGTGTGGTGGTGCACGCCTGTGGTCCCAGCTGCTCTGGAGGCTGAGGCAGGAGGATCACCTGAGCCCAGGAGTTTGAGGTTGCAGGGAACCATGATAAGGCCACTGTATCTAGCTGGGGTGACATAGTGAGCCTCTGTCTCAAACAAACAAACAAAAAAAAAAAAAAGAAAGAAAAAGATTACTGGGGATATAATCCTGGTTCCACACTTTATAACTTGCATCACTTTTGGCAAATTAGCCTCTGTCTCTAAGTTTCTTCATCCGTAAAACAGGACAATACTAGCTTCTGTTGTGAGGATTGAATAAGATAATATGTTGAAAGTATTAGCAGAGTGCCTAGTACGTAGCAAGTACTTAAGAAATGTTAGATATTACAATGTTTTTTAATGTAATTAGACAATTCTTCCTACCTCATCACCTAATCACTATGATAAAGAGCTAAAAACTGAGGTACAAGACTTACCCACGCACAGCTAGTAACAAAAATGGGTTAAGACATTCGGTTCTAACTTTAAATAACACCTCTAAATAATTTTTTTCTATATGACAGCAAATGACTTTTAAAAATTGAGTATTTTTATTTGTTCATGAATTAGTTACATAAAGCATTGTGCAAACAATTCTCTGCACATGAAAGAAATGGTTCATCCATTCAAAGAAGTCAGACACAGGACAAGGATTTTGAAAAACCAAATTTTAACCCTCACTTCTTCCTTGGAATGTATCATGGTATAGCACAAGAACACAAATCCTAGCTGTACCACTAAGAATTGTGTGGCAATGTTATTAAAATATCTCTATGCCTTGCTTTTCTCATCTGATAGCAACATTATATGCCAGACTCCCAAAGATCATGTGATATTTAAATAATAATACAATGGAAAATGAGTATTTAATAAAATGAAGTTAATACAAAGGAATGTATGTTTGGTCATTAAATATGAAATGTCTAATTTCAAATCAAGAGTTTAGTATACTGTATTTCAAACAAGAAGCAATATAATTAATCAAAGTATGCACCTAAACTATCGACACAGTTTTGCCATATTAATGGTAGCTTGTTTATGCCAGCAGCGAAGAAGCCTGGACAGCGAGTGGCAATGAAATCACTGAAGGCATTTTCCACACTTTGTTGAGAACTAAATATTTTTCTTTGCAAGAAGTGGTCCAAAGCCTGGAAGAAGTGGTAGTCAGTCGGTGCAAGGTCTGGTGAATACGGTGGATGACAGAAAATTTCCAAGTCGAGCTGCTGTAGTTTGAACAGCATTGTTTTTGTGACATGTGGTCAAGCGTTGTCTTCCAAGAGGATTGGCCTGTCTCTATTGACCAGTCTCTGCCGTTTAATCTCAAGCATCCGCATCATTTTGTCCAGCTGGTTGCAGTAGACATCCGCTGTAATGGACTGACCAGGTTTCATGAAGCTGTAGTGGATAATACCAGCACTGTATCACCAGATACCAGCAGCTTTTTTAAATGAAAATATGGTTTTAGACTGTTTCAGCACTTCATCTTTATCCAATCATGGTGCCCAATGCTTGTTACTGTCAAAAAGAATCCATTTCTCATCACACATAACAATATAATGTAGAAATGGTTCACCTTTATGTCATGACAGCAAAGGAAGGCCAGCTTCGAGACGATTTCTCTTCTGATGCTCCTCTTATTCATGCGGTACCCATCTACCCAGCTTCTTTACCTTGCAGATTTGTTTCAAATGTTCCAATATTGTTGGAATAGTAACGTTGAACCTTGCTGCTAATTCATGCATAGGTTGAGATGGATTCGCTTCCACTACAGCTTTTAGCTCACCCTTATCCACCTTGGTCTCAGGTCACCCACGTGGCTCATCTTCAAGATTAAAATCACCAGAACAGAACTTCGCAAGCCATCAATGTACTGGGCGTTCATTAGCCACATTGTTCCCAAACACTTCACTGATATTTCAAGCTGTCTGCACTCCATTGGTTCCCGGATGGCACTTGTATTAGAAAATACCACACATTTTTGACTTAACCATGTTTTCACAAAAATTGCTCTAAAAGAAAAATCTGAGAGATAATCACAAGCCAAAACATGGCATTTGAAAGAATGAGGATGTACCTTCACAATAAAAAATAAGACAAGTATCTAAGTGAAATGTCGGAGATACCAACTAACTTAGTACTTAAGGAAATTGGACATTTCATATTTAAAAACCTAATATTTATTCCCTATTCATCCTTTCCATTCTCTCATGTTATATATTCTGAGATGACAAATTATTTCAGAATTGTCTGAATTGGTTTTTCTTTAACATGAAGGTCCTAAAGACAAAATTAAATATTTTTTACCTGGAAATGGATGCCTGGAAACTAACTCTTCTGGAAGTCCAAGTTCTCTACCTAAAATTCTCACTTCATCCTTATGAAAATCTTTCAGAGGTTCTATTACTTTTCCCTACAGGAAAGAAAAAAGCCAATCAACACAATTTAGTTACCAAAATGACATGGAAAACAAAGGGTAAAAAATTGGCTTTTCCTGCTGTCATTTTTCTTAAATTAAAAAATTGTTTTTAAAAATGCATGTTTTAAAGTATTTCCTCCTATGTGCTTATAAGGAATTAGATAAATATTTTAGCAGTATTCTTATTTTTCCTTAAAACACATTTTAAACATAAACCTTTTAAATATAAATAAATCAGGGTAATCCAACTCACTATTTCTGACCTAGTTCTCATTAGGAAAAATAAGGCATTTAGAAAATATGATATTAGTGTTTCAAAATTAAAACTCTTTAAATATCATTAAGAAAGTGAAAAGACAACAAACAGAAAAGGAGAAAATATTCGCAAATCATATCTGATAAAAGATTTGTAACCAGAATATATAAAGAACACTTACAACTCAATAACAAAAAGATAAATAAGCCAAGCAAAAAAGGAACAAAGGATATGAATAGACATTTCCCCAACATATAGAAGTGGCCAATAAGTACATGAAAAGATGCTCAACATTACTAACTATTAGGGAAATGCAAAGCAAACCCATAAGAGATACACTATTTCACATCCACTAGGATAACTAAAATCAAAAGAGATAGATAATTCACACCCAACAAAAAAACAGAAAATAACCAATGTTAGTAAGGATATGGAGAAACTGGAACCCTAGTGTACTTTTGGTTGAACTGTAAAATGGTGCCAAGTGCTATGGAAACCAGTGTAAAGGTTTCTGAAACAAATTAAAAACAGAACTACCATATGATCCAGCAATCCCACTTCTGGGTATATACCCAAAAGAACTGAAAGGAGGGTCTTGAAGAGACACTTGCATACACATGTTCATAGCAGCACTAAGCAACCCAAATGTCCACCAAAGAAAAAATGGACAAATAAAATGTGGTGTATACATACATGGTATATTATTCATCCTAAAATAAGGAAATAATTCTGCCACATGCTACAACATGAATGAACCTTAAGGACACTATGCTAAGTGAAATAAACCAGTAAAAGAGGTAAATTCCACTTATGAAGTAATTAAAGTGGTCAAATACATAGAAAAAGAAGATAGAATGGTGGTTGGGAGGGGAGGGAGAAAAGGAGAGCTGTTTAATGGGTATACAATTTCAGTTTTATAGGATGAAAATGTTCTGGCAATCTGTTTCACAACAATATGCATATATATACTTAACATTACTGAACTGTATACTTAAAAATGGTTAAAATAATAAATTTTATGTGATGTGTTTTTTACCACAATTAAAAAAAAACAGTAACAAGTCTTGGTAAGGATGCAGAAAATCTGGAACCCTCATATATTGCTGGTGGGAATGTAAAATGGTATAGTCATTTTAATAACAGTCTGGCAATTCACCAAAGTGTAAAACAGAGAGTTGCCGTCAGACCTAACAATTCTACTCCTAGATATATACCAAAAGAAATAAAAACGCACATCCACAAAAACTTGTAGCCAATGTTCATAGCAGCATTACTTATAATAGCCAAAAAGTAGAAACAAACCAAATGTCCATCATCTGATCATTGGATAAATAAAATGTGGTATTATCCATACAATGGAATATTGTTTCGCAATAATAAGGAATAAAGTTCTGATAACATGCTACACCATCGAAGAACCTTGAAAACATTATGGTAAGTAAAAGAAGCTAGTCATAAAAGACCACATATTGTATGATTCTATTCATATGAACTGTCCAGAATAAGCAAATCTATAGCAACAAAAAATAAATTAGTGGTTAGTGGTTGCCTAGAGCTGGCAGGAGAGAGGTGGGGGTCAGGGGGAGGGGTGAGATGACAACAGGTAGAATGAGGAGTGACTGCTAACGGGTATGAGTTTACTTACAGGAGTAATGAAAATGTTCTAAAATTAGACTGTGGTGATGACTGTAAAACCCTATGAATATCGGGAGGGAAAAAGATGGGAGCGAGGGAGGGAGAATCTTCATGTATCTATTTTATGGAAAACCTCTCATAAGCTTTTACCTCTTCTCTTAGCTTTCTGATAAGCTCTGTGTCATTGTGATGGGTTTTGATGAGTTCAGCTTTGCCACTTGCAACAAGGGATGCACTTTCAATTAGATCAGGCCGTAAAGTACCTTGGGCAAGGAAAACCTCCTCTGGTTTTAGGTTCATTTCTCCAATTACTTCATTGGCAATCTATAACCAACAGGAGTAAAAGAGTCTTATAGAATACGAATTTTTTTTAAGAAGACAGCAAAATTTTATACTTTCAGCTAAATTTCTCGGAGTCCTTTTGCACTACTGACCAGGATATAAAATCCACCAACCTCCAAAATAAACTCCTTTAAGAACATGTGCTTTAATATGATGCAAAAAAGTATGCAAATATTTCCCTCAAGAACTTGAAATCTAGCCTTTGAGATATCCAATAAATTAAGATCCAAAAATCAACTGAAAACATTTACTCTTAAATAGTTACAACAACAGACTAGCAACATGAACTATAAATGTTTTTTAAAACGAAAGTTTCTAGTGGTTAATATAATAACAGTATACACTAGAACTCTCAGCCACAAAAGAAAAAAAATCAAAATTAGCAAATTTGGTTATTTGATATAAAGACAAGGAAAAATACTAAAATTTACATCTAAAACAATAGACTTTGAAGACATCAAAAAGAAAGGTACTTTAACAAAAGTATCTCCAATGATTTTTCTTTTCTCTTCAGGACTTGTAGTCATATTTAAAGTTTTGCTGATTCTTTTTCGTGGGGTCCTATCTTCATCTGATATTGGTAGAGTTGTTGTTCCATTGTAGAAAGAATGAGCAGCATTTATCACTAGGGGAGAGGGAAGAAGTGTTTTAAACTAGTAGTTCTTTTTTTAATCGTAAGTAAATCAAACTGTAGAAAGAAAAACTAGGTAGATCCTTTGATCTCCCCTAAATTTGTCTACATATTCAAAAACTAACAATAAACCATTAGTAACAGAGTTCAGACATGGGTACTCATTATATTCTGTTCCTATGAGAATTCCATGGCATTTAATGATCTAGGGTCATGATAATCACAAATTATGCTGGTTACTTTCCCTCTGTTCAGTGCTCTACTGGAGCAACAAGCAAAAGCCACAGCAAGAAGCACAGTCCCAAGAGAGTCAAAAGCAGTGGTTCATATATACAGAGAATCAAAATCCTTAGAACTGTACATTGACTAGTCTCTTGTAAAACTGATATTTATGAACATACGTCTAGTGATCCTTGGCTGTCTTTTTTATATTTAAGAGTAAGAAACTAAAAAATGAATAGATCTTTAATTGGTAATAAAGCTTTACTACTAGCGGGCTTCACCATAAGATGACAAGACAGCTGGCTATTTCATCTGGGGACTGCCAGTGAATTTGTAGGTCTTTCCTTAACATGGTCAATTACTCCAAAGAAAACACCTCCAATCTCCTGCCTATCATCCTTCTAGTAGTTGAACAGAAGAAGCGGTGGGAAGAGGAAATCACCATTCAGAATATAGATTTTTACTTGAATCCTGTTCTTAATGTAGACTCTTATCTCTAACCCTCAACTATGGCTCATATTGGTATGCCCAAATCCAGAGCCTCTTTTGTTTAGCATCTCTACGGAGAATTTACCCACAGTCTTCTGATGGGGAGGGACAGCAGCAGTTTGCTCCCGTGTTAAGGAAAAGGATCTATTTCTCAGATTTTCAACCAATCCCTGTTTTAGGCTCACCCAGAGACCCATGCCCCCAAAGAAGCCCAGTGTCTCTAATTCCTAACCCTCCCCATAAATCTGTAGCATAAATCAGCTAACTTTTTGTTGGCTTTCTTCCCACCCCCACCCCAAGGTTGTGAATTTCTCCATTCTACTGTCAATTACCAGGGATAGATCCAAGTTTTTGTGAGTCTGAAACTTTTACAATTTGAAGGCCCACTTCAAGAAACAGAATAATAAGATATTTTAAAAATCATAAGTGCGATGGCTAAAAAGAACTTAACCATACACCGAAATGACTGCAAATCACATATATACCACTAAATCCAAACTAAACATATCCCCAGCTCAATTTTTTCTTAGCCTGATCCAAGAATGCCCATAGCCATTCCAATACCACCGAATAGAGAAAATTAGAGTGGAAAGAGAAAATAAACTTAACTATAAATTATTAAAATATCTTACTTGCAAATTTCACAAAAATATATGATCATGTGAAAACACCACTAGGGTCCCTTCTAGGACTCTGGAAGAAATCTGGCTAGTGAGGGGTCCTAAAGCTTATCAAAGAAATTTCATCAGATTATCAAAGAAAATCCACCTTATCCATCAGCTTTCCACCTTCCAATATTTTGTTGAAACCATTTGTCTGCTATCATTTCCTCTATTCCTTATCTTTATGGCATTACACTTGTTTTATGCCTTTACTGTTATTTTAGTGAGGTTTCAAAAGAAGAAAAGAACTAGACTCATGTTCACTTCATGTTTACCTATAAGTCTTCATCTTATATTCAGTCTTTTGGTATCAATTTCAATTAACTCAATAACATGTACAATTTCTATCACTTCACTTGAACTACTGATTACACCTTGTTTTTAAAAAGTATAAAAGATATCTACAAATGTAAATAACATTAAGGACTAAGAAGTTTACTAGTGGCCTTTAAAAAAAAAAGTAACTATACACTTTTCACTCCCCTACCCTCGTAGAAGCCTTTCTGTTTGCGAAAACAATCTGGATATCCTTACCTATTGGAGGAGGGCTTGGGTGTCTTACGCATAAGTATTACAAAAGTGTGGGTAAAAATAATTTTGAAAGAGAATGACTAGAAGAGAACAGAATGGTAGCTAGAAAATGGTCATTTAATCTAAGTATATTAGTAATAATCAAGTTTTAAAATTTATACTGGGACCCCTCTTTAACAAGAAGTAATTATAATGTGCAAATTTTTAAAATTTTCAACCTTGAGCTTATTGGGTAATCTGTCATTGTGCTCATTTAAACCATAAGGTTAATTTGATTCTAAGTCTTGGCATGTAAGTTAACTTTTCTGGGGTTCCTCAATACCTTTGACCTGAATTCCAAGCTTTTTGAGGGCCTCTTCGACAGACTGGCTTTCTCGTTTTCTCATAAAGCCATTATCAATGTGTACAGCAATGACTTGATCTTGGTTCAAAGCCCGATTTAGCAAAGCTGTACAAACTGTTGAGTCTACACCACCACTGAGTAAAACCTACAGGGTAAAATGAAAAGAAAAATCAATCTGAGCAGAATAAACAAAAAGAAAATAAATACTATCAGCTTAAGTGATTACCTACAGGCACTATCTGTATCAGAAATAGGTATGGTAACTGAGAAAGTACTCTGAAACAGTACAACTCATAAAGCATATGTTTACTCCACCAACAATTAAGGGCTGTGCTGAGGAATTCAGCTCCTAGATTTCAATATTATTGATGTAAATTTGAAAACTTCCAGATGATAAAGTGCTTACCAAAACTTTTGACGTGCCTACTCTTTCTCTGATGTCTCGGATGCATTCACGTTCTCTGTTCTGCACAGTGAAGGTGCCACTGCACCCAGCTATATCATAAAGGAAATTCTTCAGTATTACTTTCCCATTTTCTGTAAGGCCAACTTCAGGGTGGAACTGTGCTCCGTACAATTTTTTAGATTCATTTGCTATGCCTTTATAGAGAAAATAATCACAAATTAAAATTTTTTCATGTTGAAAAAACTCAACAAACACCCACAATTAATTCTTCACAGTTTCTTCCTCTATAAATGTTAAAATCGATATGGCTTGTTGCATTTTTAGCTACAGAAAATGAAAATACAAACAAAAACTACATTTCCATGCTCTTTATTAAGGTCTTTCACGATATAGTAAACTAATGAGCTACTTATTGGACAGTACAATAAGTCCTCCACAGAGTTTATTTCATAGCCCTCTGACTTCTTCACCCAAGTTACTTCAATTATCTATTTAGCACAATGGTAACTCAATTTTGATTCTTGGTTCCACACGGCTTTCAAATGCAACATACAGCTACCAATTTTCTATATTAAAAGAATCTCAGTTTCTTTCTTGAATACTATTAACTGCAAATATAACTTCACTTACTTGACTAATAATATGTTTCTGACAAATATTATAGACTAAGCAGCAGATGTTAGGTTAGATGTTTTACATGTACATGTATTACCCCTATTTTATGGCCTTGAGATAGCAAGAAACTTGTCTGAACCCTTGGCTAATCAACTAAATCAGGCCTGGAAGGCTCCCAAACTCATACTCATTCTACTCTACCAAGGTACATCATACTTTCTTTATTTGACTTTCAGGATGCCACTCTCTTGGTTCACTTATTTCACTATCCACTCCTCTTTGCTTGTTCCTCTTCAGCTTATTCATCTCTATATAAGGAAGTCACTCAGCACGCAGCCCTTAAATCTCTTTTCTATACATTGAGTGATCTCACACTCTCACAACCTTAAAATTCCACCCATATGCTGATAACCCCCCAAATTCATACCTCCAGCCCAAGTTTTCTCCTCTAAATTTCAGGCTCATATATACAACAGCCTATTCAACACCTTCATTTTGATGTTTAATAAAGCATCTTGAATTTAATATGAAAACCCAAACTCCTGAGGTCTTTCCCATCAGGTAAATAGAAACTTCATCCTTCTGGTTCCTCAAGCCAAAAAACTTGGAAGTTAAAACTTCACCCTACTTTCTCTTCCCCACTCAGGATCCAGTCTAATACCAAATCCTTTGTCTTTCCCTTCAAATCATATCAGAATCCAATCATTACTGACAACTTCCACCTCTACTACCCTGCTCCTGACAATACTGCCTCTCTCTTGATTACTACAATAGATTCCTAGCTGGTCTTCCTACTTCTATCTTTGGCCCTATTTTCTCATATAATCTAATCCTGAAATTAGATCATGCCTCTCCTTTGTTCAAAACTCCACCCCACTATGAGTAAATTCAAAGTTTTACAATGGCTAAAAGGTCTTGCGTTCTGGCCCCTAACTACCTCTCTAACTTCATCATCTATCATTCTCCTCCAAGCTTATTCTGCTTCAACCATATGGTCTCCTTGCTGTTCCTCAAATATGGTCCCATCCCAGGGCATCTGCACTGCTATTTCCTCTTCTCTCAAATATCCAGAGAGAGCAGTACTTACTTTCTTCAGGTCCAATGTCATCTAATAGGAATACATTCCCTGAATATCCTATATAAAATAGTAACTAATCATACATTACACAACACCCTTTCCCCTCCACTTATTTTTTCTTTTTTTTTTTTTTGTTTTGAGACTGAGTCTCACTGTGTTGTCCGGGCTAGAGTGCCGTGGCATCAGCCTCGCTCACAGCAACCTCAGACTCCTGGGCTCAAGCGATCCTCCTGCCTCAGCCTCCCGAGTAGCTGGGACTACAGGCATGCGCCACCATGCCCGGCTAATTTTTTCTATATATTTTTAGTTGTCCAATTAATTTCTTTCTATTTTTAGTAGAGACGGGGTCTCACTCTTGCTCAGGCTGGTTTCAAACTCCAGAGCTCAAACAATCCACCTGCCTCGGCCTCCCAGAGAGCTAGGATTACAGGCGTGAGCCACCACACCCGGCCTCCACTTATTTTTTCCATGTAAACACTATATGACATCTGACATATTCTGTATTTGTGTATTGTCTACCTTCCCTTTCCCCGATGTTAAAAAAGGATTTTGTCTATTTTGTTCATTACTGTATCCTTGACATCTAGAATTGTGCCTGACAAGTACTCAAATATTTATCGAATGAATAAAAATACATAAGCCCATCTACCACTGTGGGGAGTTAGCTATGCTCCCAGCAAAAAATCGGGTCCCCTAGGCAGGAGTTGTCGCAAAGGATAAGGAAATAATAGAAAATAGAAATAAAAGAATACAGAAACAAAAGAATACAGGACACGGAAGTACAGTTTTATAGATTTATAAAGGAGGGGGCTCAGGAGACACCACAGTATTTCTGGGAACTGTGAGGCCACGAGTGAAGTTTCACATCACTATTTATGGGTACAGTGATCGATTGTCAGGGGTAACAGATTTACATAACAGGTAGTTCATTTTAGGTTAAAAGTCTTCCAAAAGGCTTCTATAGATCCATTAATTAACTCTATGTACATGAACAGTTACAAAATCTTTCAAAGACAAACTTCTAAGTTCTAAGATAAAGCTATCACTTAACAGAAGGGTTAAACAGAGATATAGTGCCTCCATATTTCTTTATCTAGTTACTGTGGATGGAGACAGGTAGTCAGGAGTCAAACAGGAACTGTTCCTTGGGCTAATTGCTTTTAGCCGAAGGTGTCTGTCTCTGGGTCCAGCACTCTTTGATTAGCTCTCATCCTGTGGCTCCATGTAAACCTGCTTTGTCCTTCAAAGCAGGCGAAAACCACAGGTTTGAGACTGCAGCATCACCTTGGAAAGCAGTTGTCATTGACCTTGGAGATGTCCTCCTGAGGCGAGGCAGCTTTTGATATGCAAACTAACCCGTTCACTATTCCTTCAGGGCAAAGCCCTGCAAAACTCCTGAAACCATTTGTCTCTCTATATTATAGGGGGCACCTCAATAAAGCAATATTTCTATGGAGCTACATACCACTGTTGATCTTTTGTATGAAGCAAAAACCTTTCAGTATAAAAAACCATTCTTGATGATTCCTATGCCAACGTATTAGTCTGTTAAGTAACTGCAGGCAGATTACTCAACTCGGTTTATCCATGACAAATCTATTTTTCTACTTATTTAGGTGTGGCATCAAACAAAAAGAACTTTATTGATTAAACCCACTTTTCTCTTTTACTGATTTCCAGGACTGTTAGTGATTATTTATATTACATTTACTCAAGCAAGCAAGTCAAAACCCCAAA